GGGGAAAAAGAAAGGGGGCATTACGATTAGCATGCATAATGTGGGGGGATGGCATGGGGAGGGCTGTACAACACAGAGAAGACAAGTAGTGATTCTACAGCATCTTACTACGCTGATGGACAGTGACTGTAATGGGGTTTGGGGGGGCTTGGTGAAGGGGGGAGCCTAGTAAACATAATGTTCTTCATGTAATTGTAGATTAATGATAACAAAATAAAATTTTAAAATTTTTTAAAAAGAAAATAAAAGAGGTAAGCTGTAATGTGGGAGAAAATATTTGCCACAGATGTAATTGCAAAATGATTAAGAATATATAATTGATAAAGGGTCAGAACTTTATATAAAGAGTATATGAGGAATGCCTATACAAGACAATTTTTAAGAAGACAAAAAGCATTTAAAAATGAGCAGAGAGGCACATCACAAAGGATGACTCACCAGTGGCCAGAAAACATCTGAAGATATGTTTGACCTCTCTTACATCAGGAAATGCAAATGAAGACAGAATAAGATAACCATTCACGTGCAATCAACTGGCAAAAATCAAGAAGTCTGTAACTGCCAAGCATTTGATGGGATATAGATCACTACAATTTTGTACATTGGTACTATTGCTTTCCATCACTTTGGTGTTATGTTTTAATGCTGGGTAATTTTTGTACTCTGCCATCCCACCACTGTACTCCTAGATATATACTCCCACACACACACACACAAACTTGTTTGTGAACATAGGAGGTATATAAACAAATATCAGGGTAAACACACTATACATAATAGCAGAAACTGTAAATAATTGCAATGGTGATAGCCAGGAAAATAGTTACATTGTCATATAACAAAATATTATAGAGCAATGAAAACTGAGATACTGAGAGCCACATACAATAGCATGAATGAATCTTAATAACATTGTGTTGCTGAATCAAAAAGTAAATGCCAGAGGACAATATGTAGAATGTTTTTAAAGAAAATTTCAAAGATGCACAACCAAATACCATCTGGTTTAGGCATAAAATGTGATAAAAAATTTAAAACTATGTAAGTGAATAAAAGACACAACGTTCAGAACACTGTTTTTGAATGGGCATACAAGGAACGAGGCAGGGACTTAGAGTAACCCAAGATCTGTGTATGAATGAGGGTGAAGGAATGCTAAAGAAAAACATGTCTAATAAGAGAATGTGGAATAG